TATATAGATTTATATATAGATCTATATATATATATATATATATATATCCAAATTATACTGATATTGCTACATTTAATGATACTTTATTATACAAAACGTGATAGTAATGTTTTGCATTTTATAACTGATTTGTGGGGTTTCAGCGTTCTCAGATTAAAATGTTATCAATATACAATTATGTATGATAATCTATTGCTCGCTAGTGTGTAAAATATGAATGTATTGAAATGATGAGTGAACAAATATCAATTGTGAAGTCTTGTATGAAAAAGAAAAATATTTAGCGATTTTTTTTCCCTTGATTCACAGGTAGGTGTCACAATTGCTTAGAAAAAAAAGTCAGCAAGCCATCTTCTATCCCCGAGCTAATAAGTAAAACTATCTAAATCCGGATCACATCTTGTGCCACTGTATAAAAGAAGACCCACAGAGCACTATTAAATCAACAGACTTTCCCCTGTTTTTGTTTTTTAAACAATAAAGGAGAGTTCCCTTGGACATATGTGAAAATGATTGGTATAGTAGTTACCCTGATGTATATTGTGACTTTTTTGCAATCTTTTTTTTCTCAGGATATCTTGACTTGATCACTTCATTGCCACGGTATATATTCTATAGGTATGGTAGAATTTATTGTAAAGACTGACTGGAAAGGAAGAACACAAACTTATTTCTAAAATAGCTATACCATAGAGACAGTGCATCTTGAACGATGAACTGGAGTACTTAATATGTGGGGGGAAAGAAAAACAAAACAAACAAAAAAAAAGATTTCATATTTATTTTTGTAAAGATATGAATAAAAAAGCTTCTAGTAATTTATGCAAGTTGTATTGCAATGAGATTTAAAACGTTTTGTAAATAAATTCTGCCTGTTTTTATTTGAAAACAGATGATGATCACTATGGACCTTTTGTTTCTTTGATTGTCAATGAGTATTCTTTAATAATTTATATACTGAACTGTAAATAAACACAGGTTAGACGAAAAATGAATTTGTTAATCGTCATGCTATTACAACCTATGCACAGTCCACACGCAGGCTTTTGCCTAACAGTATTCCCCGCTTAGAAAAGTGTGGAAAATATTTTATTCAAACGGCCAGACAGGTTTCAGGCAGGTTTGTGGCTTTATCATTGTTTCATTATCTTATTGTGTATATGAATAAAGTCTTTAAAAAAAATTCCCTTTAGATTGATGAGCTGTTTAATATAAGCACTGTTTTGCAGGTTCGTTTTTGTTTTCCTTGAGTGTGACCTTATATTTAGCTGTTACCATTTGTGTATACTTGTATTATTATTATGATTATTATTATTACTATTATTATTATCATCACATCATTAATATTGTTAAATTTCAAACACACAACCCACACCCCCTCTTTCCTATCACATTGCCATCCCTATCTTCAGTTCTCATGACTGAATCCACATCATGCACACGGACCAGTGACTAGGTCTGGGTCACTTGCAGGTATGGTATACTTCCTCACCTAGGGAGGAAAGTGATGCTGACACTGTGTGACCACTAAACAAAGAAAGAGGGCATCTCATTCAGCAGTCACTAGATAACTTGCCTTTAGCTTGCTTGGAAAAATAAAATCCTATCTATTCCCCACAAAGATAAATTGAGTGTATATAGCATGTGGTAATAAAACAAGAATAACAGCTTCTTAGAATGCCCTTTAATCAATCATACACTTATTTTTCAAGAGCCTCGTCTATTTCATTCTATGATTAATAACTTCCAGTGTAAGAACATTATTAGATCCCAGCAGGGGAGATCCTGTATGCTTTTAGTTGTTTAGGAATGGTCAGTTGGGGTTTAATATGGGCTGATATTGAGCAATGTATAAAGTCGTGTCTAAACATCTGCCAACTTAGATAGACAGATGAGTGTGAGGGTGGAAAATTGCTGGACCAGTTGATATTGACAAACAGATCTCTCTCCAGTGGCCTTTAGTGCAGTGCAAACGAGTGGCTTCTTGCTCTGTCTTGTTAAAAAGGGCATCTGAAAGTTATCTTCAATACTTCAGCTATCTGTCCAGTACGTGTTCACAGGAAATGAGAAGATTTTTTTTTTGTCCGGAGCCATCAGTGATATCAGTACTGGGAGCAGACAGAAGAATGAATGGACAACTTAGTATGTGTCTAATCCTTAGTCTTGGATGTTTGACTATGTATTTATGCTATACAGGTTGTGACACGGACCTTTCAGGTGCTGCCTTTGAGCCTTTTATTGAGGTGGGTTTCTGTGTAAATAGGTTTAATCTCAGGTGGGATCCCTGGGGATACGATGCAGTTAGAAAGGACTAGGGGCGATTTTCACTCACAAACTGCCTTGCTCCCGTCTAGCTTGAGCTTTCCTTGCTCCCTTCAAATGTCAACATTTGTTCTCATAAAAGACCTATTGTTTCTGTAAGGCTGCTCACTAGCCGGGAACACCTCACCTTGCTATGAAAGAAGACATTTAGCAGGGAGAGCGTTCTTAAACTTTTTAAAAGAGGAGGGGAGACCCTGGGGTACTTAAGAACCAAGCAGAACTAGGCACCGAAAACAGCTCTGATAAAATACAAATTCACGGTTAAAAAAAATAAATAAAAGTAAACACTGGATCATGGACGGCATTCTCATCATTCCATTTTCTCCCTGTGGTTTACAGGACATTTTTTTTTTTACAAATTATAGGAGATTCTTTAACTACATTATAAAGGCTTGGGAGTGAAATCACCTGAATGTATAATGCATAGCTTGCCAATATGTCAATTTGGGGGCATTGCTATGATAAGGTATCAGAGGAATCCAATAACGAGATGTTGATTAAAAAAGGTGTGAAGCATGCGGAGTCTTAATAGTTAATCCACTTCACCTTGAACTGCGCTGGCTCGAGAGGTTCACACATTAGCACTGGTTTTTTTTCCAAAGACAATGACAGTCACTGTTTTAAATCCGCTTTCCTTATGAAAAGGAACCCAACGTGTTTATATAATAAATAGCTTCCCGCCCATGGATTTTGCTGAGGAATTTAACTGCACAATCCCTATCCAACTTTTTTTTTTCTTTACTATCCTACGTGTCAAAACAAACTTATTTTTCCTTAAGTCAGTAACTGATCTGATGCTTGTTACATGGATGACATGGGCTTTTACTGTAGGTTTTTGCCCCATCAGCTCTGTGCAGATTTAGCTACCCATGATCTTCTTTTGAACTCTGGGAACTTGGCAACCATAATATTAAAAGAAATAATAATAAAGATGAATATAATTGCAGCATCCAGGGCAGTGTAGATGTGTACACTCAAGTACTAGCTCTTTATTTGACCAGGTTATTCTGCAAAGGTAAGGAGTACACAGAACCATGCACATCAATCCCAAGTAATGCCAACAGCATGTCCAATGTGCAAACCGCCAGCCAGAAATTACTCTGACCTATGGCCACTGATCAAATCTAACTTCGCTAAGATGAAATGTCATTGGTGGGGTTACAATGCTTTGCACATCACCATTACTTCATGCACAGGGTTAAACTGACGAAACACTGTCAGATTTCGATCTGTCAGATGAACAAAATGTACTGACAACTGTACAGTGTGAGGGTCTAAGCCTTGCATGTTGTATCCAGGCAGATAGGCGCAGTTGCAAATAATCTGACAGATCAAAATCTGCCTGTGTGTGTGCCCAGATTTACTGTCAGTTTCCACAAGTGCCCTGTTGGTTTGACATCGGATTGTGCGCAGAGTTTTTATTTGGAATACATTAAGAAATTCATTTCCACCCAGATCCCATATATTGTGGTATCGCGATAAATAAAGTGTCCAGTGGCTGTTTTGTAAAGATGATCAGAAAAAAAGATCAAGGAAAGAAAGGCACTCACTTGAAACCCAACAATAAGGATAAATATTGACATTTAATTCCGTGAATCTCAGATATTATTTTTACAACCTTTAAAAGTGAGAAGAGGGACGTCCATTTAAACAATGATTGACAATTTGTTGCGTGTATAACACCTTATAAATTATTAATCAGTACTGTCAACAACAATGTGATTATTGCACTCTTTTGAGATGAATGTTTTTTTTTCCAGACAAAATTATGTCACATCACATTGTAATCATGTCACAGATAATTTAATTATGGGTATACTTTGATGATTTTTTTTTTTTAGCCTGTGAAGTATTACATGTAAACGTTGGTTAGTCGGTTTATCGTTGATTATTTCACAAGGAAGCAGAGACTAGCTGAGAATACAGCACTTCTCATGAAGAATTAAGAATGATTAATGCTGGTGGTGCTAGGGTGTATAAAAGACCAGCAGGTTCTAGAGCTATAAAGATGACATCAACAATTACATATTCTGCACAAGATCAAGAGACAGGAGAAAGCAACATTTTAACCTCTGACATCTTTAGGAAAGAAGAAAGGAAAGGTTATGTTTTAGATTATTGCTAATACCCAGCAGATAATTTAGTGGCGGCAGATTAAGATGTACATGAACGTGTTTCTATTGTATCTCCCTGTAATAGTGTGTTCAACTGATTTCAGCACTGAGCAGCACAATGTGGACAAGCTGTAAACAGTAATTGTGTGATAATGGCACCCACATGTAGTCATTTTCTAATCACAAACTACAGAGGCAAGTATGAAAACAAACAACTTAATTACATGGTAACATAAGAGCAGTGACACTAGTGCATCCTGAATCACAAATTCTCCCAGAGAGATCAACACGGAGTGATATGATGCCACTGCCAGAAAACTTAGTACAGGCTGAGTAGGCGTACAATGGGGGTGAGAACTGTTTAGGAACCATAGTGTCTTTCTTTTTTTTTTATAAACACACTACTTATTTGTTACGTTGGGAAAGAAAGGTAGCATTGTCATTAAAGTACGGTACACAGTGAGAATTCATATCAACACATTCATTTGTTTTATAAAGTGTTTTCTCACCCTATTTATGGCAAAACATTCAGGAGAAGATTTTAGATCAGAGGATTGATAGCCAGGTTAACTAGTGTTTAGTTATTTATCGAAGTTTTGGGCGTGATTCCGGTGAGGCACATAACATGCATACGTGTGCTGGAAGCCGAATTATTTCGTTCCCATTATGATTACATCAGGATAGCTTTAAAACGCAGTTGCTAGTCGTTTGATGCTTTCCACTTCGACAATTAAGAGGCTCCCTTTTTACGCCGGGACCAAAGGAATACATTAGCCAGAATAATTGAGGCTGACAGCTCTGACATCACAGAGTGACATTTTTCACACAACTGAAAGTTGTTTGCAGATTATGTACAATTTGTCACATCAAAGAAAACAGAGGCTAAAACACAAACAAAAACAGCTAACATCGCTGCAGCGGGTCAAAAGTACAAACTAATTGGTAACGAATGGCTTGTCAGACTCTCAGCAGACATACCACATCAATAGATCATATAATATAGTATCTATTTCCTTGTTGCCACTTCTTTTGGGAGAGATCTGGTAAAGGGTTAATCCTCCTATATGGAACTTTTCTGTCCCCAGACCGAGAGACACCTGTCTTGTACCTTGGAACTGGAACGTGGGTCACTGATTTCTAGAAGACGGGGCTCTTCTCTTGGGCTACTACTACCTAGGCTCAAGTCTCATTTCCTCTATCCTGACACCAGACCATTGACTCTAAGAAATCCATTAACCGGCTTTTAGTTAATACATTACAACTCCCAGGTGAAATAGTCCCATGCTGTCCAAACTGTAAAACGTTAACTGTCTTTTAATAACCATTAATATA